GGTTCCTGAGCTTATTTCACCACAGGAGCTTCTTCTACCCCTTCTGACAATTTGTAGGGTTTGATGAATGATTTCAGTGATAGCTGTAGAGGAAAATTTCATTTTTGTAGCACAGTGGATTTCAATAAGAGATCTGATCCAGAATAGATGAAGCTCCTATCCTGGGGGTAAAGTGTAAAAATGAAACTCATACAACCAACCATTTTCTTGACAACTGCAAACTTTTGATGCAGTCTTTTCGGAGTTACTACACAGGGTCAGGAAAAGACTATTAAATGGGTCTTAGCATAAAACTGCCTCTAATCAGAGAAATTGCTAATGCATGGAGGAGCTTCTATAGCATCTTAAAAAATGTTTCACCAAATCACTTGGCAGTCTCACTTTGCATGAAATCTATGGCACATTTCACTTTTGAATTCCTAGTAATGGGATTTTCTTTCTGTCACAAAATATTAGTTCATTTTTGCCTTGGCTCAGAACAGATCCAGCTGGTGCTGGGTAGTAGAGCAAGTGGGGTATTATTCACTGGAGTTTTGTGCTAGGTCAGTTTCTACATAGCCATTTCATGGGAATGGAGTCTCCAAAATACATGTTGGCTTGGTTCTTCCCTTTTTCGCTACCCTTGCTTTTAATTAGAAGTACAAATTAGCCATCAGGTGTCAACTCCCTTTGAAATTTAAAGTTGCAATTGTCTGCAAGTAGTGAACCTATCTTGAGTGCAGCTTTTAAAAGAAGTACTGTTAAAGTAGCCAACTAAGTGTGTTTCGTATGTATGTCACACTGACAGGCTCTAACTATTGTATTTTAGTGCTTCAAAATGAATATTTACCTGTAAAGAAGTCCGTCCGTAATACTAGGAGCCTCAAAAACTTCAGACTACAAATGTTTTAGTTTATTAGATACTAATGTTATCTCCCGTAGACTGCACTGTTGTATCATTTGAATGAAGTATTTGTACATGGCCAGATATCTAGAGTTGGAAAATCAACCATAAAATTCAATCCACGTTGATATCTAGCCTTCAAAATATTATTTATACAAATTACTTTGATGGCCATAATACATCTGGCTGCAGTCATTCTCTTTATACCACACTGGATGCCTGCTTTAAAATGAAAACATCGCAGAAGTTCTGCAGGGAAGCGGGGAAATAGGAATTAATCCATTGGATAGAGCAAGTTGGAGGAAAGGAACATGAAGATTTTTTGATACACTGTAATTAAGTATTTACAGTCATTATAGGAAATAACTATTGTGGGCATATTTTGGTTTGAAACTGAATTTCCTCTGTGGGCTTTAGGAAGTATTGACAGCTTAACACATCTGGGACTTGGTACCAAGAAAGTAACAGAGTTTTGAGGAAGTAATGAAGTGTCTTAACGTTTGGAAGCACAATTATGTTTTTAATTACTTTGCACAATGATTTTAAATTACTGGAGCAATCCATGCTTTAACAGCTCTCCCATTTCTATGGAATTAGGTGTTGGGTATGTCTAAAGCAATTTTGCAGTCAAATGTTGCAGGTATTAATTAATGTGAGAATGATCAAGTTTTGCTTGTGTACTCAGCAGAGGCCTAAACTCACACCAAGACAAATTAGAGAAAGCTAAGTCAAGCTTAGCACAACCAACTTTACAGCTGACTGCTCATCTGCAGCTCAGGCCCAAGGCATCCAAGTTGTATTATACATCCCAAAGAGGAGTAAAAGGGAGCCACCAGCACAAACACTGAATTTCATGCATTCATTTTGCTGTCAAGTGTACTTACATTGCAATGCTTGTGCATTTGGCTTGTGCAGATTTCTGTCATAATTTTGTTTCTTATTACAGGGTTGCTGAAGAAGGAGACATTTGGATATTTCATTTTTTATTCCCTGATGGTCCCAGCCAGCAATTTAAATACCTGCTTTCAGGTTCACATTTTTCTGGTTAGACTCCTATCTAGAAACAGTGCTCTTTACTCCATAAACTATGTCAGGGAGGGGTAAAGCTCTTCTCAAGGAAGATGCTGGAGAAATCCTAACACAGATCTTATCTAAGCAGCATCTGAAGTATTTGCCCATAAAGAGAACTTTTGCATGTTGTTACCTCCTCTTTTAAGCAAAAATCAACAAGAAGATGAAATTGATTGTTGGATCAGTTGCTCTTCCTTTGTGAACTAAGTGCTTGTATGGAAGACAGAAAGAAGGATGTGTTCAATGTGTGAAGGGAGAGTAGAATATCTTCAGAAAAAATGCCAACAGTTTATGAAATCTGACCTTCTTTCTGGTGTGTTTCAGAGGGGTTAAAGGACGAAAGAGGTTCTGAAATATTAAAGAGGGGAACTTTTAATTCTGAGGAATTTGGAGAGGACTACAGATGCCGTGAGTGATTGGCTGATGGGCTTTTGTGGAAGTAAATATCTGTCAAATCTAGGCTGCTGGGTTGCTTCTAGAGGGATTTCAAGAAAGATATTTCTAGCACAGTAATTTGTCCAGTGATCTGTCCATGTAAAATCTGAGTAACCAAGATTTCAAGAAAGGACTTTTGTTATCCTCTTATTCTGAGAAATTGGGAGAAAAACCAATTTTTATCTCAAATAAGAATGATGGTGTTAAAAGAGCCCTGAGAGTTTAACCTAGAAAGATTTTCACAGGGTCTGAGGGATGGCTGTGGAACCCCCCACCCCATGCTGATCAAGAGGCAGGCTATCTGCTGGGAAGACCAGAGCTGAGCACACAAGACCTTCTCCCTAGATGATGTGCTGACTTACTGTTTGCCAGCTTAGCAAACTGAAACGGCTCAGTGCAGGGTTGGAGGAAGACCAGTGCTAGCATAGAGAAAGGGACACAGTTTGTGATGGACAAAAACAAAAAATCAGGAATGTGACAGCAAGTGATTAGATCAGCCCATGCTAACTTGGAGGCAGAGGTTTAATTCTCTTGATTTTTTTCAGTGTTTTGACTGATTTTGTGCCTTGTACATTGCCCAAAGATTTCCCTCTTTGTCCATGTGTTCTAGTGGACCCATTGTTATCTAGGCAGCACCACATGGCTCTGGTTGTGCTGCATTGCCGGTACTTTCCACTTCCTCAGAGTATGTATACCCTGCAAAACGGAGCTGCAGTTGCAAGCTGTTTGGCTAAACCTACTTCCAAAACTGAAACAAAGCACCCTCGAAGCCGTGTTTTTTTTCTAAGTGGACAGCTTCAGGTCTCAGAGGTGGCACATATAGAAGAGAAAGGTAGTATGGAATTAACAGAAGTATGTTGCTGGGTCTTCAGTCAGGTTCACAGGAGCCTTGAAGTGTTGCAGCACCAACAGAGATTTTCCTGCGTGAGGCTTTGAACATGTAGTTGAAGTTCCCATCCTCGTTACTTCTGTGTGTTCTCTGCCAAGATTCAGTAATCCAAATCTCTGTCCAGCTGGGGGTCTTGAGGGCTTGTATTATCCTCCCTTACATGAACAAGAATCACATCTGTGGTGGTTTATAGCTCCTAGCAATTCAGATAGCAGTCCAAGGTGGATGTGGAATAAATAAATCATGGGCTTGAGATAAAAATAGGTTCATGGCTGCATTTCAGATGTTACTTGTGTTGCAGTTTTAGAGGACCAGTTGTTCATTGCCAGTAGAATCGTGGAATTTTAGAATCATGAAATCATAGCATCATAGTCATAGAATGGTTTGTTTTGGAAGGAACATCAGACATCATCTAGTCTCAACCCCTGCCACGGACTGGAATGCCTCCTGCCAGCCCAGATTGTCTCTTTGCCATGTGAGGACTGCAGGCCTTTGCTGAGACTTGGGTAATGACAGTCTGATCTAAGAGGTGGTGAGCCCTTGAAACTCCCCTTGTCGAGAGGTGGGATTTGCAATGGATGGTCATTCCCAACTACCTGCTGTGGTTGTGGAGGTGACCCTAAGGTTGTGGGTAGCATGATACCTGAGCAGGGTGTTCAACTCCCCTGATAGTGTAAAGAGAAATGTGTGAGTCAATGACTATTAGCAAAATGATGCAGATTCTTTCAAGATTTGACTTAGTTTGTGGATTTCACAGGAGCTTTGCCCAGGTCCCTACATCAGCATGTGGTAATGGCTTGTGCCAATGAATGTGTCAGGCTGTGGTTTTGCTCTGCAGCCTTTTACAATGATCATTTGACTGCTACATGTTTTCAGTTTCCATATTTTAAATGTGATACATACACACAAGTGTTTTGCACTGTGCTGTTTCCTAAAATATTATCAAGATGGGCTGTAAGAATTCTTGACTGTAACACATATGTGAAATATGTACATAGGGACAAAATTAAACAATAGACCCTCTCCTTGGCAAAAATCAGTACATGTACCTAACATATACTTAATTAAATGCTGAGAAATCTGTATTACTGTCATGCAAACTCCATTAAAAAATTCTTGGTCTTCGGCCTCACTGAAGAAACATATACAGAAAATTAACTCTACCTTTTATGATACTATTTCCTTGTTAAATTCCATTATTATAGGGCTTATTTTTCTATCAGTAAAGTAATAAAGACATAAAGGTTCTTGTGAAGCCACTGTCTCAGGTAAACATCATTTATTCTCTCAAAAGAGATGCTGTGGTTGACTTTAATGGAGTAACATCTGTTCATTCAGAATTAAGTGAGTTCCCTGAGCAACAATTAATAAAAATATTGTCACTAAATATGCCTGGCATATTTTTTACAATAATAACATAAACCCATACAACTGGGGGAAACAAGAACACAGTAAGTGCTCATGTCTGCTTCCCCTCTTCCCCACCCTGAGGATCTCTAAACAACTTCACTGGATAGTTAATTTTTTGGTCTGAATGCCTAAACACTGATAATTCTTTTTCCTGGGAACACTTGACATGTTCTCAATAGCAATGACTATAGGAAGATCTCTTATTGTGTGCTGATATGGAGTCAAATAATCCAAAAGCATTGTACTAAAATGCTGCAGAGCCTGAGTATACAGAAGTCTTAATGCATGCTTTTTTATGTTGTTCCTCACCAGCAAAATTCACGAGCCAAGAGAGCAGGTCACTGACCCTCCTTCGATCAGCACACAGCAGTTTCTCATTCTTTAGAGTGGATTTTGAGATTTGAAAATAGAAATTAAATCCCTCAAAGTATCACAGGAAGAGAATGGTGAGTGTTGTCACTTGTTGTGGCATTATTTGTTATTTGTGGTTTTTTTAATATTATAAAAATATTAAGTTGCATTGCACTCATCTTGGACATCAGTTGGCTGGGTGTTCTTAGGTTTGGTTACCATTTACTCTGTAACTTTGCTCCTGGTCATTCATTGCAAAGAGGCTTGCTATCTCATACAACAGCTGAACAAGACGTGCTAACAAGCTGATGGCAGAGTGTTGTAGGAAAGATAGTTTTAGAAACTATTGAATAGTATATCCATGTTATACAATGATCTTGGAACATATTTTCTCTGTTGACAATTAAGGAGAATTTCAAGCTGGACTTCTCTTTTTTCCTTATTTCTCTGTGGGCTTATGCTGTTAAAGAGAAAGGGGAAAATGTATGGCTGACTTAATATACGTTTATTTTTAATTTCTCTGGCTGTGATTGCTACTTTCAGTGACACCTTTTCCCATTATATTAACATGTCACTCGATCTGGGACAGACAGCATCTCTACAAAGGTCATTCTCTAAAAGAGCGTGCTGGGATTTAACTTCCCTAGAAGCATGCATCTTTACTGAAAGGGAGAGAAGTGGTTATATTTGGGGGGGTGGCATGTGGGAAGCTTTTTGTGTTCCATTATGAAGGAAAAAGACTTTCAAACAGTTGAAGCTGCACAACTGTTAACAATGAAGACTATTAAAGGGATAGCAATCAGCCTACACACCAGACACACAGATTGAATTCTTGCTGCTTGTCATGTAACCAGAGATAAGAGTATTTTCCAGTGACTCTGATAAAATGAATGCTGTCATAATGATTCTGAGCGAGACTCATCCAGATGTTTCAGACTTCTTGCTGTGGTATTTATTCATAAATCTTGTTAAAATATAATCAGAGAAAGCATGTCTTAATTAAAGCCATCAAAACTCTGTGACAATGTTCATGCAAATGCAATAATAATCCTAATGTGTTGATACAAAATTTGTGCAGTAGGTTACTGGCATGTTTGAGCCTACTGATTAGAGCTCACTAATTAATACAAACTTCTTACAAGTGAAAGAGAACATGTAAGATCCTCTGTACATGAAGGATTGTGGATTATGCCATTTTTGCCTGTGTGCATATGACTGCTGGGACTTCCACAATGCTTAAAATTCTTAAAGATTTTCATATGTATTAACGTGTACATGTGCTCATAACTTGCTTCCCCCACTCAGTCTATACAATTATTACCTGGTCCTGGTGCATGATTGCTACCTGGTCCTGGTGCACCATTTCATTCAAGAGTTTGGTTGTGTAAAAAAATTAGAGAAGCATATGTAGTGAAATGGAGTTTTTATGAACAATTTAGAGGACAAAGCAACTTGCATAAACTAGGGTATCATCACTCTTCTTTCAAACACTCGACTGTGCAGCCATAGTAGTCTGCTTTTCATTTCCCTCTGGTGAGCTGTATTTAAAGAAGCAAAAACTACTTTAATTCTGTGTTTCCCTCTAAATAATCTGCTGCCCTGCTGTAGGAATACTACTCAGCTACCACTGGGAGGGGATGGTTCTGAGCTGATGATTCTGTTAGGATGTGATCACGCCATGACAGATTTAACTGTGAAGCTTTAAGACTACTTGTGAATGCCAAAAGGAAACAACTTAGCTTGAAAATTGTAACATTATGTGTCAAATATAATTTGGAAGCAGAAAGAGCGCAGGGATAATTCTTGACGTTTAGGCTCAACGTTACAGCTGGATGAGATTTTTGGGGACTGAAGTGCTGCAACAAAGTCTTGAGGATACTTACAAGTTAAGGCATGACTGGCCGAATGTGTCTTAGCAAGTTCAGGAGCATTCAGAGTAGCTGGATGGAGGAAGGCTAAGCACACTCGGTTATTTGACATGCTGCAGCTTGTTGCTCCCTAGTAACTTGTTTGTGACTGACACTGCAGTGAGACAAGTTAGGACTCCTGCTAAAAATTTGTAGCAAACTTGATAGAAACAAATTCTCACACTGCAGGACAGAAACCACAAAGCTGAGGCTTGTAAGCTGCAAATTGATTCTATAAGGCCCAACTGTGCAAGCCCAATGGCTTTATCTTTCAATAACATTGCACACTGTCGCAAATGGTTCCCTGGGATTCAGATATGCTCGGATTGCCTTACCCCATACCAGAGGGCTTTCCCATCAATCTCTGACCACTGGCCGGCAGTTCCTCCTGTCACATTTTCACACTTGGGAGAAATGTGCAGGAGAGGTGTGCAACTGTTGCACTAATGCCTAGCTTTAAGCGTGTTTGCACCCTGTCTTGATGCTAGGTAGGCATCAGAAAATTCTCTTTGACTCGGATTGGGAAAGGTGAAACTGGAAATAAAAGGACATAAAACATGTCCAAACCCTACAAATTACCAACTAGATCCAAGTTGCAAATTATAGGAGAAGGAATGAAAGAAAACTACACTTGATATCAATTCACTGATCTACAAAGTATCTCTCTGTGTACTCAGGGGATTTCCTTTAGAGTTTTGTCATGAGAGATTATGTCCTCCCACATGCCCTACATCTCAGACTCTTTATGCAGGGAGATCCTAGAAGAGAGTCTTAGCTATTACACCTGATGACTTGCATCCCTCTGGGGGTTCCCTTCAGTCACCCCATTTTCCCTTCCAAAATACACTTACCTTTGGGTTATTCAGGGAATATATTTTTAGCTTCTGCTGGTAAAAGGGCTCTTTCACTTTTTGAAGATGCAGGTGCTACTTTTGTGGACTGGACAGTGTTTCCTGTACTGGACTGGCCTGGGGTCATTGCTTAACTCTGAAAGGTATTTTCATCTCCCTCACTCCCATGGTGAGCCAATTTGTATGCTTCAGTGTGAAGTGCCTCCATCCACTAACCCCATCTTTCTTCATGCACAAGCTGATGTAAAATGTATGTAGCTCATTTCTTCTTTTGAGAGCGGATGCTTTGGGTGAAAAATAGGTTTGAAGCGATTGACTCTTCAAATCAATCTTTGGTATTCCAACACATATAATTGAGCTACCTAGGTTTCTTTGTCTTTGCAAACCACACTGCGGGGCAGGAAAGTGCTATTCTCTGTATTATTTCTAGCAAACCAGAACACAAAGAGGCTGAGAAGATATTACCTGAGTATTTCAAAAATCAGTCTTGTTTAGAAGCCCCTCTATGGCAGAATCAGTGTACAGGCCACAAGTCTTGTACTGAATACCCCAAGTACCTAGTCCTTGCATCTTAAGTCCTGTGTTTCCCACAGCAGACCTCATCCCAAATGGACACAGACAATGAGCAGCTCTCTGTGCCTTCTAGACATTTCTCTGCCTGTGCTTTAAAAGTCCAAGAAGAGATTGAAGGGGTTGGAGAAGCTTATGTTCAAAAGTTATTGATTAACAGGCAGCAGCCCAGTACCTAGCCCATGTGTTAGGGATGTGGGGAAATGAAGGATTGATGCCCAGCTTTGCTTAAAATGTTCAAAACCTTTCAGCATTTCAAGCAGAATAAGAAAGAGACTGGCAACTCAGGTACTTTATGGTGGGAATAACTCTCTCACAACTTTAATCTCTCTCAAAATATTTGAGTTTATGTTGAAGCATGGATGGATGCTTTGGGAGGAGGTGGATGATGCCCCATATGAACTGCTGTGTTTGCCATCTTATTGGTCCCAAGACTTTGACTTCTGGATAACAGTAGTGTGACAATTGTTAATCTCTAAGAATCACTTAATCCATTTGGTTGGATTATACATCTAGCTTGCTCTTAAAATCTTGGGGTGTGGTACTTGTTTCCAATTTTCATGCTGAAAGAAGAGTTATTTGCAAGCCTATCAAGGTTCTGCTAGTTAAAAGCTATAAAATGTAATTTTATAACCCTTTATTTTCTCAAAGTGTGTATCTAAGGAAGCATTTCAGTAGGCTGAAGTAGTATTGATGTATTGTCTAATGGATCTACAGCAAACACTACTCCTCTGTGGAGGGCAATCTAAGGACTGTGGCCCAAAAACCAAGTAATAGCTGAAATGTAATCATCATCAGCAAGACAATGAGTTTATGACAGGAATTACTATAGGGAGAAAAAAAACGCTTTGGACCGAACAAATACTTCCTGAAGGGGTGGATGCATGGCTTTATGCTTATGATTGAGAAAGTTCAGGTTAAGTTTGCTGAGGGGGATATTTCTGTGAAATCTCTCTTGATGAAAGTCAGGTCCTTCATTTAAAAAGGCTGTCATACTGTCTGCAATCTATTTATCAAACAAGGATGGAAGACAGTTCTCTTCAAATTTATAGCATCATCAGCTAGTAAATGTATAAGTAAACTGAAGTAGAAAGTGTTGTGTTGGTTTAAAAACTGATTACTTTCTGGAAAAGACCTCTGTCTCTGTTTGCTTGTCTCATTATTGCGACAGCATTTCTCTGATAGCTTGCTGCTGCCAGTCCTTGTTAGACAGGCAAACACATAGGTGCTCTGTGGGAGCTGCTGTGTCGTCCTCTGGATGGACTTTGTCCTCTCTTCCCAGTTTCCCTGTGGTAGGCTAGTGCAAACTGAGTATTGGGAAACTCTTGATTTCAAAGGTGAGAGTCTTGTAATTATGGCTTCAATTTTCATCTGTCAGAGAAGCCTCATAGTCTTCATCTACCCCAACGGTGTGAGATGGGGTCCATGTGCACTAACATTTGGATGTTTAAATAATCAAAACTACTGACTGAAATCCTTTTTACAATCACTGAACTGCCTTTGTAGAATGATCTGTCTGGTTCTATCACAGTGGTTGCAAAGTGACAGGCTCAAGTGTTTAAACTTAAGTGAAAGCAATGTCACCTCTTTTACTCAGATCTTACTGGAAAGAGTTCTGGCCAGGCATAGAGGACCAGATGTTCAGAGGAGCTCAGCTCTTAAGGTTAGGCACTTAAATGAGGTCAGTTTTTCACTTTTGTTTCTCTCCATGTAAACTAGAAGGAGCTCAGCAGAGGTGCAAAGGGAAGTTTTGTGATTTCAGTTCAATGTCAAAAATAAAGCAATGTCAAAAATACAGCAATGACAAAAGGATCTGAATGTCTCAGGAAATTGCAGCATTTTGGCACCATTGATCTCAAGTCAGGGAAAGAGTTGAAATACATCAACAGAAAGTTCACAGAGCACAGAGGTCTTTTACTTCGTTATTTTGCAGTGATAACAATATTTCAGCATTTATAAATTGTACTTTTGATTTTGTTAATCTCTTCGGGGTTGCAGGACTCATATCGGGGGACAGGGGGTCAGTTCCAGAATATTTTGTGCCTATTTATTCTCTGTTTCTCACAGCCAAAATTAGCAGACAAAGCTCAAAACTCCTGTTTGTCTGTGGTCCTTCTCCCTGTCCTATTCAAAAAACAAATGCAGAACTGGGCTTTACAGAGTATGAGAACAACCACTGTGATAAAGAGGATAAGAGAAAGTACTTGATTTAGTGCCTGTGCTTGACCAACAGGTGAACTAATTGCTGGTAAACAAGCTAAGTGGGTTGATCTGTAGCTACAAATAGTAAAAGGCTGTCGTTCCAGCTTTTGTGGAAACTTTGAAAGCTTTTCAAAGCACCTGCTTTTTATTATGCTGCTCTCTCAATGTTTGACATATGGCCTGACTTACATAAACACATTGGGGTTTTTTCTGTTTTTCTTTTTTGGTTTTTTTTTGGTTTTTTTTTTTTTTTTTTGTTTTGTTTTGTTTTTTTAAAGCAAACAAGCAAGCTAGCCTGTTTTGTTCTGTACAGGAAATAAAATCTGCATCAATACAGTAAAAAAGCAAGGAATGCAAAGTGTATCCAGCCTTGGCCCCCTGGCAGCCACCTCTCAAAAGGGATTGGATTCTTATACATACCGGAGTTTGGAGGATTCTTCAACTTTTGGTTGATTTGTCAGGCCTGTGGATCCCACCAAACCTCACCAGAGATTGGCCATGTTTATAGTACCCCTTCCTTCACACATGCAGATGTCCTCAGCAAAAAGCTGCTGCATTAAAAAAAAGTGTACAGGATTTTTGGTACCTAGGAGAGGTGTGTCCCTCTGTCCTGCTGCTGGGAGGAAGCAGCCTCTGAGGAGAGTGAGAACATGAAATTTGGAGTGAACATCTCCTCTAGTCAGCATGGAAAGAGCTGGCAAAACCTGCCACTCAGAATCAGATTTTGCACAAGGTCTTGGGCTGCTTGGAAACATTGCATTTAGGAGAAGTGAAGCCAGAAGAGTGAGATGCTATTGCTTTTTCACCCCACGCACCATCAGCAGCTAGATATGCTGAATTTGCTGTGTGCAAGACCACAGTGCAACAATAATTGTTTTCCTAATTACATAACAGAAGCTTTAAAAAGGGGAAATGGATGCTTGGATAATGCTATAGCACAAGGTCTTGGTTCTAGCTTTTTCAAGTAGAAGAAAATAATAATTTTCTCCCCTTAAAAAAGCAAGGTTTTGCATCCATGTACACTCATATACTCCTTTGAATCAGTGGATATGTAAATTGTATCAGCCTATGACTTTCCAGTTTGGTGGCTATCTATTAAGGTGATTTAGCTAATAATTTTAAATGATTTTTCCCATCAATAGTTTGGGGTATTCCACAAGGTATTTCTATTTGATTTTGTGTTGTTTCCTTGAGTATTAATAAAAATTGATTTAGGCAATAAACTTGGTGGTGGCAACCCAATAAATAAGAGAGACCTTGTGAAGTGGTATTGAAATAGAAGACTTATTGTAAATTGCCTGAGCAACAACTTTCCCCTTCAGATGCCAAACCATCAACAAGTAGCACTAATTTATGTGCACTAGCCATACTGCTGTAAGGTAAGGACAGGCTGTTTTTTCTTGTAAAAAATCCAGTAAGATCTTGTCCCTTCTAAGAAACTGCTTTAGCGCAAATCTGTCATTCAACTGCTTGTCAGCTGTTTCTAAATTTATGTTAGAGGAGCGAGTTCTGGGAAACTGAGGCGCTACACTTTTCTTCCCCTTCTTTTTTAAAGAAAGGGGTGATGAAAGGGTGAAAGTGCACTGTGATAGGGTATGGACAAAAGAGCTGCAGTGCCCAAAAAATTGTGTTAAAATGATAAGGTACTGTGAACTTCCTATGATCTAGAGGTCCTGAATTCCTCAGAATCATACCTAAAAGAAAAAAAATATATATATATAAGTAAACAATTAGACAGTGATGTTTTCACCTGAAATGCTGACTCTTACCAGGGAGTCTGTTTCATTAAATGCTGTATTAAAGGGTTGGCTTAGTCCAAATGAGAGATCTTTGCTATGAAGGTCAAAGCAAAAGGATTGCTGTCTTGCAAAGAGTCTGGAATGAGTACAGGACTGGCTTACAGAAGAGTGCATAGGTCCAAGCAAGAGACAAACTTGGATGGTATGGTATCAAGTGGCCCATCCTGCTTTCTCATTCTCAGATGGTGTGTTATTATCTAGTCAAGGAAAAATGTTGTGAGGATTTCTAGTGAGATTATCAGTGACATTTAGCAAATATTTACAGATGGTTTTGAAGACAAGAAAGGACAAAGAGGCTTTTTTTTTTTTTTTTTTGTGTGAGGGACTGTTTTTTTTTCCAAATGGCAAATCTTTGGAAATTGTTCATGCCTGATGTGTGGAGTTTGCCTTTCTTCAGCATTTTTATGCTTCATAATTATTTTCTCTCATGGAAAATAATCAATTATTATTAAGATTATGTCAAAAGGGTGTTTTTCCCTGTTTGTCCTGGATTCTGCTGGGACAGAGTTAATTTTCTCCCTGGTAGCTGGTACTGTTCTGTGTTTGGTATTTTAGTATGAGAATAACATTTATGATACACTGTTGCTCAGCAGTGCTT